TTCACAAATGAATGATTGAAAAACAAAACGTAAAGAACAATCAATAATTGGGATAATAATAATGTAATACAAAAATAAGTCAAAAAACGGAGACAATTATTTGTAAAAAATCCTATTAATGAAACAACAGATTATTGGCTATAAATAAAATGAACAAAAAAATGATAACCAAATAAACGTTTCGCAAAAAAACAAATGATTTATAAAAAAACATATTTATAAGAGCCTCTTATTAAGAGGGGAGAGAGAGAGAGAGAGGGAGAGATCGACAATAAATGCAATGGAAATGATTAGCAGTTTTGAAGTGAACACGAGGTGTGGAGCACAGCGTTCAGGCCGTGGCGCTGACGGTGTGGCGCTGTTTCTTAACACTAGACATATACTCATCCAAATCCATGTCCAACTGGTCCTTAGTCTCGGGGGTGGACTCCTCTTTGAACACAATCTTCTGCTTCTCGGGCTTATCCTTGTCTGCCATATAGGAGTCGATCTCCATATCCAACGCATCCTTACAGACGACAGGCATCTCCTTAACCTTCTTCCGCCACCCCTTCCCTCCCAATCCATTCAACAGTTTCTTGGGATCGACGACAACGAAACCGGGGTTATTGTTATCGTCGGTATTGCCTAATGAGTCGGTGATGGCGTCGAAGCCGAGTCTCATCTTTTTGCCCCTCACTTCAGACATGTAGAGGTCTAACTCCATGTCGAGCTCTTCGCGCGTCCGTCGCGGACCCATCTTATACTTGCGGAACAGTAGCGGCAAATACAGCAGCTTTTTGGCCGCCAACAGACGCCCGAACTTCTCGGACCAACTCTTCTTGGGAGTGACTGCGGGTCTGTTAGCTGTGGCCAGTGTTTGGCGCAACCGATTCAGTCCCGGCATATAAGTCACACCCAATCGGTTGGCAATCGCTTTGTTCTTCAGTTTTTTGGCCAAATTTATCACCAGTTTTCGGGACGTCTTCCGTGCGTTGCGCTGAGTCTTCATCGGCAGCTCGTCCTCCAGACCATCATCTGATTGCGTGACACAAACAATAGGACTGTTATGACAGACAATAACAATGGACTCAATCAATAGAGACAACACAAACCTTCCTCGAGATCGACGTACTGGTCGTCGTCGTCGTCTTCTTTGGGATCCGTTTCAAACTGAACGCCCGCCTCCTCTCTGACCCTCTGGTGGTGGAGAAAGCGTTCGTGAAGTGACTGTCGTTTGACGGGTGTCTCCGATTTGATGGCCACACCATTGATCACTTGGCTGAAGACCTTCGGCCGCTTGTCTTTGATCCAAACCCTTTCGATGAGCCGTTGGACAGGTTTGGCGCGAATCGGTTCCGACGTATGGAACGTCTCCTCCAAAAACACTTCCAATCCCTCCTCCAAGTCGTCATCCATTCTGTGTTCGCAACACTTCTTCGGCGGTAAGCAATGAGATCTCAAGAGTTGTTTTGTCTCTTATATGACTTCACAGACAATACAATCACTAAATGATTGACTGAACGCCAGAAACGCGCAAACCTTGCGATCAAACTCTCAATACATGTGTTTTCAATGAGCTATAAATTACGTCATCTTTTGAACCCTTTTTTGCATTCAAGTTCCCAATGAGTTTGACCTCTGATTCAATCAGATTTTTGTTTGATTTTTTGCCGTTTTATTCGATTGTCTCTAAAGTCTTAAATGCAATCAAAAAATTAACTAATTTTTTGCGATTTGTGTTCACTTTAATTGAATTTCTATTGTTTAAAGTTTTTACACTATTTAAATGTATGTGTAGTTTATGCGAGTTTTGGTACATTTTGTGATAACCAATTGTGTGTAGTATTCGTATAGAAAAGGCCCAAATGTAACCTAAAATAATGCCGTAAAAATCCCCGTCAGTTGTGAGCAAACATATATTACGTTTAATAATTGGGGCACAAAATGTATTGGTGTTCATATAACGGGGGAATCGATGTATGCATTGATTCGTACGTTAGCTATGAATGCAACGAAACTGCAGTTAAAGTTAGGGGAAAAACATGTGTTTTAACTGTACGTAAAATACACTCAAATTAATTGCAATTAAAACATATTTTAGACACAAATTACACGCAAAACACAATCAATGAATAGACAACTAATTGCGGCAAACATTGGGGGTATAGACGGGAACTTTGGGTCACAATTGCGGGTAATTTATTAATCGATGACTCAATAGTTTGGGGAATAATTTCGGACATAATTTTGGGGCAAAAATGGGATTCAATTTGAAATGCGATGAAAAAGAGAGTGAAATGAACGACAAAATGAGTTTTGCATTCAATTCTCTCTTCAATTCAATCCTTAATTGACGTCAAATTCAATTGAATTAATGGTTTAATTGAATCCAATATTAACCACAACTCAACGCATGTCTTGTAATAATGGCCACACATTAGGATCAGCTGTTGTGGTGAAGAGCACCGCCGCTGACAGACAACGTGTCCACACAGTTATCGCTGCCATACGTCGTGCGCAACAATGAATGGACAAACAGTTCCCATCAATAGACACCAGTATTCCTCCGCAGCCGCCACCGCTTCCTCCTCTTCTTCTTCCTCCAGACGCGACACAAATGCCATACAAAACATGTATAAAGTGGTGGCCATTGAGGGCTACGGCAACGACGACCACAAGATTGATCTTTACTACCGATTAGGTATTAATATAATGCAAATCTATTGTCTCCTATCGTCAGCTGATCCCGAGGTCTCACTATTTGATGTCTTTTTAGGTAAAATAGTAGGAAAGGGTGCCTTCGGGTCGGTATATGTGGCGGTTTTGCCCCAATTTGGTGACCGCAAAGTGGCCGTAAAGCAAGTGCTTCAGGACCGCCGCTACCGGAACCGAGAGCTGCCACTCATGCGCTCTTTGAGACACCAAAATATTGTCACACTTTTGTACTTCTTTTACCAAGAAGTCACTCAAGAGAATCAGGTGTGCATTGAAAACCATTCATTTGTTTTACTCACTCATTATCGCTAAACATACGGTTTGTTTGTGTCCCACAGAAACAGTCGGACAATGTATTGAATTTAGTGCTGGAATATATGCCGCAAACGTTGAGCTCATTGACCGACAAATACGACCCGCGGTTCGGAGTGCCTGTCCTAACCATAAAGCTATGCTTATATCAGATCTTCCGCGCGTTGGCGTACATCCACTCGAAGGGCATTTGTCACAGAGATATCAAACCAAATAACCTCCTCTTCGACGCCTCGACGGGTGTCCTCAAAGTCTGTGATTTCGGAAGGTTTGTGCCATTCATTTGTCTCACTAATGAATGACTTGTATTTGCATTTATTAATTCATTTCATTTTTACGACAATTAGTGCCAAACATTTAGTTAAGAGTCAGACAAACGTCTCGTATATTTGCGCCCGTTATTATAGGGCACCGGAACTGCTGTTTGGGGCCACCGATTACACTAATAGTATTGGTAAGTGATTTATACGGCATTTGACAAAGTGTTGTGTGTATTAATTGTATTGGATTTGTATTGTGTGATCAGATATATGGTCTGTTGGTGTGGTGTTCACTGAACTGCTTTTGGGTGAACCGCTATTCCACGGGCAGTCGTGTATCGACCAATTGGTGCTAATCATAAGCAAATTGGGAACGCCTTCTAAGGACCAGATTATGGAACTGAACCAGAATTATGTGAAATACGATTTGCCGCACATTAAGCCCCAACCCCTCCAATCACTCTTTCCGCCCAAAACCCCGTCCGAAGGCATAGATCTAATGTTAAAGATATTTGAATACAAGCCCTCATTACGTATCGGTGCCCTCAATGCGTGCGCCCATCCCTTCTTCGATGAACTCCGAGAGCCGGGAAAGAAGTGGACGTTTGACCCGTTCGGCAGAGTTCGCGATTTGCCCCCACTTTTTGATTTCACTGAACACGAGCTTACAATAGAGCCCTCTCTGAACCCGATTCTCGTCCCGAAGAGACCGGTCGGCGACGGCTCCTCCTCTGACCCCATGTTCTCACAAACAAATCACATTTGATAACAATTTTTTGTTTAATTTTAGTCGTATTTTGACACTAAACCCATTGATTAGGATATTTATTATGGGTTTGTTTTGCAATTTAAAAATCTTATTTATTGATTTGATATATTTTGAACAAACATTTTATTTATTAATAACAAAATATTTGCAAATAACTGCTCAACGAAATCATTGTTTTTCTGTGAAATTTGAAATTTCTTTTTTGTAATATATTTTTACTAATGTTTGTGTAATTTAAAAAATTCTTTGCCACACATTAAACTGTTTACTGGTTTTAGTGATTTGTTTTTGAAATCAACGTTTATTTTAAATGAGATTAATTGCTATCTAGACATGTGTTTGTGGTTTGAAATGCTATTCAGTTGTGATTTGAAATTTAGGCAATTGTTATATGCTTTTAAAAATTGAGTTTCAATTATAAGGAAACAATAGTTGCTATAAAAATGGTAAATAAGTAATAGAAATATTTGTTTTATTTTTCATTATAAAAATCAATAATATTTTATGACATGAATTATGAAATGATGTCGAAATCGATATATTTATACGCGTTTTGTGTAATCTATTATTATTATTGTTACCATATTTTTCTTATATTCAAATATAAGTCAATCACTTAATTGCGAGTAAATTGAAAAAAATGTTTTCATCGAAAAATATTGTGCAAAAATATGTATTTATAAGTGCTTTTAATTTTTTGGTTTCAATTTCATGTATCAGTACTACATGTGTGTAAAGCGATGGCTAACTATGTCATCGTTACAGAGGGACTGGTAGTTAAAAGTAATGGTATATTCAGTGTATTATATAATGTATCGCAAATGCAATTCACATGAATATCGTTCACCTCATTCAAGGAGAAGGAAAGTTAGGTTTAAATGCAAAGCGAATTATTAAATGATTTTTTCTACTATGCATTTAAATGTGAATAAAACTAAAAAATGTTTGTAATTTATCCTCAATCTTATCATTAAGATTAGTATAACATTGAAAATCGCGTTGAATTGAGAGTTAAATACAATGTTTATTATTGTAGTTTACGATTTGAAAGTATATTCTAATTTCTGTAAGACTGGTATAAATCTTATACTTTGTTTGCCTTCAATATAATATTGATATAAATATAATTACACTATAATTAAGTTTATTTTCTATTAGTGTAAAATCCTATGGATTGTGATTACCAAATAATATTGGATGCAATACTTAGTGTTATTTAATTAAGTCATTAATTAAATAACATTCACTCATAAGGAATTTTCAATATAATTTATGGTGAATTTTATACGAAAAAAGTTTTAAAAGTTTCATCATGTTATTCAACACACGCTATATTTATAATCATTGAATTATATTATTGAATGAAATATTCAATAAGTATTTATTATAATTAAGTTAAACACGGATTTTGCAAACGATTGCTGCAATACAGGTCTCAATCAATTTCCATCACTGTTTGACAACTGAATATTATTTTCTCTCTCCCAAAAAACATCACTAAAATATTAATGATTTAATAATTATGTATTCATTCGTGTGAGTAATTCATCAAATATTTTTGCGCAGAATATCTCTTTTGGCGTCACTTTCTTCCCCCGCAAGTGATTGTCAGACAAAAGTGACCAATTCTTGGAGATATCAATACAATTGCTTCAATGATATCACTTATTCAAAGGTATGTATTATAATATAATTATTATGTTATAATAAAGCAGTAATTATAAGATAATTTATCATGATATTTTTGCTGTTGCTTTAAAAAATATCATGAGATTTCTGTCAGTAATTTATTTGTTTAAAATATTACAAATATAGTGTTGGAGTCCGTGAGAAACGATTAGATTAATATAATTTGTATTATGAATGCAATTAATTCATTATTAGTCCTTCAACAGTAATACAATTTGGTCAAAAGCACTTATAATCATGTATTTTGGCAACAATTACCCAGATTGTTATTTATTTTATTTACACTACAATCATTGATAAGTTATCAACAAAATACTGTAGTGTTTGGATTATTTTAAGAAATACTTTAATAATTTATAAATTTTCTGCTGAATTATGAATTAAATAATTATGTATTTAAAATATTTGCGTTAAAATTTCATTAACAATAGTTTAGTGCAATTTAAGGTCTAAATACTTCAAAAATACAAGAATCTCCGGAAAACAAATGCTCATTAAATCAATGATTTTTATGTCAAATAAAAGTTATCAATAAATAAATAATTGAAATGTGTTTAAATAAAGACATGCACTTCTGGATGGGAACAGTACAACAGTACAGAACAGGTTGTGTAGTGAAAAATAATTAATATTATAAAAACATATTTTTATTTGAAGTTTACTTTCAAATCTTAATTATGCGAATAAATAGCATTTGATTACATTCTTTACTAATGATTGAAACGATAGACAAATACTCAATACATATATCGGTAGTGAATAAAAAACAACACTTGAAACAAGACAGAAGTTGTTTGACATTTATATTAAAAATTTAAACATCTCTCTCTCCAACTGTTTTGCGAAAATTTAATTGTATGTCTGATAGCATTCATTCAAACGTGTTTTGTTTTGTTGCCGTTTCACTAATTCAGTGAATTATATACATTATGTACGAGTATTTTGCTGTTTGTGTGACTTTTTTGTTGTTTTCAATCGGAAAGTTATAAACTAATTGCGGCACAAAAACTACACAACAAAAAATAATTCACAGAATTAATGCACATATTCTTGCATTACATATGTATGTGCGCTGCGAATCATATGAAGCAAATATATCTATATATTGAGTAAATTTATTCATAAATAATTTTGTAACCATTCGCCAGAATAACGGATCCAGTTATTCAATATATGCCTTACTTTTCATAAGTATGTTATTTTGTTTGAGACAAAAGCCAGCGATCAATACGTTATTTGTAAGTATGAAAGAAAGGGTAGGAATCGATTCCTTCAATCATATATCTCTCTGTTTATAATCTCTATAAATGTCTAAAAATAATATTTCTTGAATTAGAAATACGTGATCATTATTTTAAACTTTTAATTTTGTTTACAACACATGTAATGTGGAAAATATTTTAATCGCAACTGAATAGTCGTTTGCGAAACTTCAATAACAAATTGAATGTTAATTGATTTTAATGTAAATTCGATGCAAATTATATCCATTTATTCATTGATGTGTTTTATAATGATTCTGGGATTTACTTATAATTGTGTTTTAGTTAAATAACATTATTAGTGAAGTTATACACAATACCGATGGGAAGTACAGCTGTTTTTGATTACATCATGAGACTTAATGTATGTGTTTATATATACGGCTAAAAACAACATTCATGTTTTTTTTTGTGTAAAAATAGTGAAAAGTAAAAACTATCTCAATTAACTAATTATAAGTTACTTATCTTTGATTGTAATTGTTTAACAAGATTAATTATTAAACCGCAAGTAATATATGGTTTGCAAACGTACACCATAATCAATTTTGTTTGAATTTACATTTATCAATCTTCTAATGTATATTTAGTCATTGCATTCAATCGTTTCATTTTCGGCATAATATTGCAATATATTTGACGATTTTATGAATAATTTAGTCCTTAATTTATTTAGAAATAATTTCAAAATTAATAATAATTATTAAATATTACATTTGATGAGTAATTCAATTATATTAATGCTTTTTATAGTTATTTAAAATGCGGAAAACTTAATGATTGGTAAATTTATGGGCATATTCTGTGTGTACGAGTTGTACGGACACACTATATGTCTGAAAAATATTGGTTAAATCTATTAACATAATAATTGCATTAATTATATCCAACAAAAACCCATTAAAATTTAAACAATGATTTTATTTCGTTAACAATAAGTTTATATAATACAAGAGAAGGTCGTATTCAGTGATAGCAATACATATGCAAAATAGTATTTAATAAATTTACTCATATTTCCCATAAAAACTCTATTTATTACTTCATTGAATGCAAATTTACACAAATGTTTTGTCAATATATATATTTTTTCAGTTATCAATATGTTTCAATTAATTTACTTGCTTAAAAACATTTACAAAATCCTATCCATGATATAAACATGTGATTTTCACAATATTATTTGAAATGCTTTTTTAAATGTAAATATTTGTTATTTTTCTATAATTGTAATAAATATTGTATTGAATTTCAGAGAATTCAATACTTTTAGGTGTAATTTGGATATAATACAGATATAAATGTAGTAGTTTTCACTTTTCAGGCGTTTTCATGCAGTTATGAACTTATTTTACGTCAAAAATGAGTTAAAACAACAGTAGAATAGCTAAAAGTTAATGAAACAAAACTCACGCATGATTTGTGTGGGACTCTTAGAGGGAAATTAATTGCGATAATAATATTTTAATTATTATAACCTCTTATTTACTATAAAATTAAATCTCAACTTGTTTAACAACTTTTTACACTTATCAATTTAGTGTTACAATAAATCTGCTGTCAAATACATCTGAAATATTAACCTAACTTAATATCAAAGGTTTGAATCGAAAAATGATAAAATCAATGATAAAAATAGTTTCATAGACATAAATGTTAAATAAATAAAACGTGAAATTAATAGTAATTTTCTGCCTCCATATGAATGTAAGTTTGAAAATATTTTATATTTATAGAAAAATTGATTTATTTCTTTACATAAATTATATTGTTATGAATGCAAGTATCAAAAACTTGTCACACATTTAATGTTTCATAATATTATTTAGGAAATGATAATTTATTGTTTATTTTTTGCTCTCTCTCTCTCTCTCTCTCTCTCTCTCTCTCTCGATATCAATAATTAACAGCAAAAATATTTTTTGACGCAAAGGCATAAAAGGAAGTCTACTTTTGACAGAAATGTTTGATTCAACGGATTGTTTGTGATTCCGATGCTTACAAATGAGAGGAAAAGTTGTTTTAGTGTTTTTCGGGGCGTTATTAGTCTCGCGTAGATTTCGTGATAAATGTAATAGACTTTCTCACTAATAGTGAACAATTAAATCATATGTGTCACTTTATTTTGTAATTAAATTTGAACTTAATGTACGGATTTGTTTGATTATGTGCTAATGAATTGTTCAAAAATATATTTAATGTAATATTTTGTAATCATATGATAGAATTGGTGCTCAAATGTTTTACTATTTTATATGATAGCATTGATCAGAGCTTTAAACTAATACATCATTATTATAACAAAGTTAGACATGAGAATGGATATGAAATGACAGCAAATGCTTATTGAAAAAGTTTGAGAAAGTACATTTTGCACATATTATGTTCATGGATTATGAACAAAATATCAGAATATAATTATCGATTCTCCTTGCAATCAGAGTTACCATCAGGATTTTAGAGAAAATTCAATGATTTCACGCAATAATTCAATGCCTGTATAATTATGTGCCAAAAATTGTCTTTTGTTAGCTTTTCATCTTTCGCTGTGATTTAATTATAACTTTTAAAACTCGTAAAAATCTTTTTTGTCAATTGATTTAACAAAATCTATTGTATCTTATATTTTCAGTTATATTATTTCCAACCCTCAGGACATCTGAACTATAATAAAAATATATTAACACGTAATCGTTAGGGAAAGTGGGCGAGAAAAAAGTGCGCTAGGTGCAGTACCATTGAATACCAAGCGTGAACTTCACTTTTAAATACCATTCAATGGCATTCACAATATTGTCCTCAACATTAATAAAACAATAACTAATAAAAAGCACACATTCTTTGGATATTATTTGATATTCTGGTTGAAAGTTACGTAAAAATAACAAAAAACAAGTCATTAATCGATAGCATCAATAAGTGGCTGTATTGGATGGTGAAGGTCGGCGACGGCTTATATATTACTTTCCATTCACTAAACAAGTTATGTTAATGTAATACGAGATCACCTCTGGCTCTGAAACTCGCATTGAAGGCACACATCGAGAGTGAAATTTGAAGTTTGAATCCGAGATCGAGAGTCAATATTACAGCCGACGTGAAAGTCGAGTGACAATCGCTAGTGAAGTGCAACTAAAATGATGCAAACATTTATGGCTTAAGTTTTGGTTTTTAATATTTCTCTTATCAAATTATATTGTATAACAACGTGATAGAAAAGTGAGCATAAGTTTTACCTTTCATTTAAATCTATGTCAAGTTTAACGTTAACTTTCTCTCCCAAATCTAAATGTAAACTTTTTTTCTTTGCATAAAATATCGTAAAATTTATGTAACGATGAAATGAAGAGAAAATTTTACCAAAAAATTTTGACAATTTTATCCTTAATATGAAAACTACTATAAATCATATTTTTCTAATTAATCATTGATTTATTTGTAGCCAATTATCGGTAATCGTGTGATAAGCGGCGACAAAACACAATGTCTTCGGCAGATAGGGATCAGTCGACAAAACTACTGAATGGAGCGAATGGTAGTCTCCAAGAAGTCAAAGTGATTGAGCGGTCGATGAATGCATTGACCAATAATAACGATACGATTATCACCACCAAGACAAAGGGGTTTGAATTGATCTGGAACAAACTATCGTATAGCGTAAAGACATATTCGCATAGTTTGAAGTTTTGGCACAAAAAAGAGACTCATTTACTCCGAGATCTGAGCGGTTCCATAAAGAGCGGTCACTTGACGGCCATCATCGGTCCGTCGGGCGCCGGGAAGACCACTCTCATCGAGTGTTTGGCCGGTCGGCGACGGATCGGTGTCACCGGCGATATCATAGTAAACGGCGTCAACAAAAAGGTGAAATTGGCGTACAATTCGCAGAGCGAGGCACTCATACCGCACCTGACCGTCGAGGAGACACTACTGTTCGCATCCAAATTGAAGAACTTTCAGATGAATAACTTAGTGAAAGTGAGACTCATTGACGACAACGAGAATGTCTACAACGCGACCACTTTTATGGAGGAAAATATTTTGATAAAACTTCCCGACAGTACATACCATCACAATCTGGTCCGCACTCTCATCACAAACCTGGGCCTCGAGTGTTGCGCTAACGTAAGGGTCGGGAACTGCAGGTATGAATGAGAATGAGTTACTCATAATGAAAATGTTTATTTATTGATTATTATTTTGTTTGTTTTTTTTGGGGAACCAGTGGTGGACAGCAGAAGCGTTTGTCAATAGCGCTTGAATTGGTATCTTCGCCGTCGATCCTAATGCTAGACGAGCCCACCTCTGGTCTCGATTCGGTCTCATGTCTGCAATGCGTGACTCTATTGCGGAAACTGTCGCGAAATGAGGACCCGATAGCGATCGCCGCGTCTATACATCAGCCGACGGCTCGCATACTATCGTGTTTTGATTACTTATACGTGTTGTCATTAGAGGGTCACTGCATATACAACGGGCCCTCCACTCAACTCTTGCAATACCTGAACCGCTTTGACCTGACGTGTCCTCAATACCACAATCCGGCCGATTATATCACGGAAATAGCATCGGGTGATCACGGCGTCGATGTGATCGCCTTATTAGCCGACGAACAGAAAAAGGCCACAAGTGATGACCTGTTGGTCGAGTCGAGCGTTAAGATCACCAAAATTGGTCGCAAATCACGCAAACAAAAGAAGAGTCGGGAACTGTTGAAGACGTGGATTCTGTTCAAGAGATCTCTGTTGATATCAGTGAGAGATCCGACGGATTACATGATGAGAGCGACCACAACCGCCGGCATATTAGTGTTGATATCGTTGATGTATTATAACGCCAATATCGGCGCCATTGACGGCTGCGGCAAACAGAATCCGGCAGAAGTGTTGAATCTGATCCAGAATGTGGACCAAGTGCTGTCGGCCGACCCCAAGAAGTCGACCATGCTCAACTTTGGCTTCATATTCTTCTCGCTCATATTCGTGGGCTTCACGAGTCTTATGCCCACAATATTGACGTTTCCGTTGGAAGTGTCTGTTTTTGTCAAAGAGTATTTCAACGGCTGGTATTCCGTGGGCTCGTATTTCATGGCCAAAAATATGGTCAATTTGTTGCCGAATTTGGTATTTCCCATCATTTTCGGCGTCGCTTCGTACTTAATAACGGCACAGATATTTGTGCTCTGGAGGTACGCCTACTTTTGTCTCGTTATACTTATCATGGCTTTGATGGCCGACAGCATTGGCTTCATAATTAGCGCCATATTCTCCAATAACGTGAACGCGGCCACAATCGCCGGCGCCGTCTCACAGATACCGCTCATCCTCTTCACCGGCCTTTTAGTCCGAATCCAAAGTTTACCCGATTTTATCCGACCCTTCACTTACTTATCGTACTATAGACTAGGCTTCGAGACACTCATACTTACCATCTATGGCTTCGGCCGATGCGAACCCGTCAAAGAGATCAAATTGAGTGATCTTAAGCAGACCTTTGGTCCGGACATTATCCCAGTCATGGGTTGTATCAATGAATACGGAATTCTCGATAACATAACCCATAAGTTTGAGAAGTTTTCCGACGATTTCTATAAAACTAATCCATCGCTAGTTTTGCAGGGCTTTGGTATAACCGAAGATGATTTTTACATCGATTTAGCCGTTATGTTAGCGTATGTGCTAATAGTCCGGATATTAGCCTATATGGCCCTATCATACCGGGCCAACTCAAAAAAGTGATCATCATTATCTCACTAATTAAATTAATGCATTGCTTATGCAATGCAATCGTATTGTGATTTATATTACTGGTGTTAATACTGAAAATAATTGCAAACCATTTTTTAATGACTAGAATTTTCTGATTGAAATTCAAAGTTTTTAATTTATAAAATCTCTTTTAAAAGTGTATTTATATTATATCTCATTTAACAGAATACCGTATAATATCACTTAATGAATAAAATATTCATTTTTAATTTGCTTTATTAATTATATCATATTTATAATATTTTTATTCATTTAATTATTATTGAAATTCTGTATAAAATATAACTAATAAAATGATAAATTATCATTTGCCTTTTATATTCAACAATATTATTTAATTGTATTACTGTAACATTAAATATACTGTACAATTTTCTATACAATTAATTCATTAAATAATTTTTGATAAATTACCATGCTTAAATTATATGAATTAATTTATAAATTAATTAAATTTCACAAAAAACAACAAGTATAATTCAACAATTCTATATAAAAATGACTTTTGAATTGATTAATGTAAAATTAGTTTAGGGACACCCCTTAACCACCAGCGCATGATTACCCCCGAGATGTCAATTTGTAATTACTTTGAGGGCACAGGCATTGCGTCCAACAATTGTATAACATTTTGAAGGCATTACTTCTTTATGTATTCATTTGTTGCGTTTCTGTTGTCTCAAAGATATCAAAAATGGTGTATAACTTGAAACTGACGGACAATTAGTGACCAAAGAGAAGATGCGGTCATCTGATGGCCAAATGTCGTTATGAATTGTGTTTACGCTTTTTGCCTCTTCTAATGGTCGTATGAACTGAGCGTTGGATTCATTATAATATAGCGTATAATTAAATTAATCACATCTCGGTTGACATGATATCCAGAATTGCCTCTCATTACTGTCTCCGCTCTGTCTGTTGTTTTTGATTTACATTAATGAAACTTCACTCAACC